GAATCAGGGACTATGTATGTACAACCACTCGTTTTGGGGGGAAATGTAGTATATACAGGTGTTCAAAAAATTATCCATAAAAAGCATGTGTATGAATAGGAAAGACACATTCAAGATAAATTACAGTGCTAAAAACAAACGCTCGGTTTATACAAAAACTATGAATAAGACAGCTGTGCATAGTTCTCACACATACAGAAGACCACACGTCATTACTGCAGTACATCGTCAGTGGTAGAGGCTGCAAATTTTATCGTCGTCCCCGACGATGACGGGGGGGGGGGGGGGGCACCACCTTTATTTCTGGAAGAGCACCCCTTTGAAATGGTCATTTTCCCCTCTCTGTGCTGTAGAGAAAAAAAATTGGACGGAGTGGGGGTGGGGGGGGGGAGCACGAGCTCAATGTGCCACCCCCTGGCTATGCCCATGCCTCCCAGCATGTGCAAAGCAGCTCCACCACCATCATAGTGGTATGCCGTTTCCAAATAGCTCAGTTGGTTTGCGAAATCTGCACGCCCCGCCGCGGTGGTCTAGTGGCTAAGGTACTCGGCTGCTGACCCGCAGGGTGCGGGTTCGAATCCCGGCTGCGGCGGCTGCATTTCCGATGGAGGCGGAAATGTTGTAGGCCCGTGTGCTCAGATTTGGGTGCACGTTAAAGAACCCCAGGTGGTCTAAATTTCCGGAGCCCTCCACTACGGCGTCTCTCATAATCATACAGTGGTTTTGGGACGTTAAACCCCACATATCAATCAATTGCGAAATCTGCGTCCAGCATGCAGCCCAAATTGCAGAAATCACTTTTTGGGGGTGCTGGACAACTGTTCCCTTATCATGAAGCACGTGTGACTGACAGCAAAAGACAGCAGGCGCACCTTTCACGAGTTGCACTTTGCCCGTGACGTCACGGAAAGTCACAGCAAAGCCTACCTTTGATACCGAAACAAAAATAAGTTTTAATGTGGTGGTATTAAAAATATATTCAATGTATTCTCAGGCCCCCGGCATTCTTTTCAGTGTTCTCAACACCCGTGTTTTCATTTAGATTGTGATGTGTAAACTGTATAGTAACGTTATATTGAATTTATGCATAGCGTTTCGAGAGAGAACATACTTTGGACTCTCTCCAACATTTTTTCGCATCAAAGGGCAGCCACGCCCTTCACGCTCGTCTATATCCAAGGTGAACACCTCATTTTAGCTTGTATTGAAGCCCTTGAATGAAGAAGCTGGTGCTGCATACATAATTTTAAGAAAATTGTTAGTGTGTTTATTGATACTTTGATCAGAGGACATATATGTTTCCTTCGAAAGGTGGAATAAACATTCTTGATTTACTGACTTGAATTCTGGATGTGGTCAACCTTGTATGTTTGCTTAAACGGGGCAGTACGGGGGTTAAAAACATAAATTAAGGCAGCTTTGCACTAGTGATGCCAAGAAGTCTGAAGAAAGAGGGGAAGTCTGCCTTGTTTCTCTTGAGCTATCTCTTGCCTCTTCTGTTTCTTTTTTAGTTTTTTTATGTCGTCATTGCTCCTCGTATTATCTATTTTCCTTGCCCTTTCTACTTTTCTTCTTTTTCCATCTCTTTCTAATTCTCGCTTGCTACCTCTTTTCTAATTGTACGCCAAGCAACGAGTACACAGGCACCTAAAGTGCTTCACACCTAAAAGCACCTTCAGCGTGCATGATTTCGTGCTATCATGTACAGCAGCACTAACGCCACGCATGCTAGTTTTAGGGTCACACATGTAAGTCTATGCATATTACGTACGCTTGAACATTACATGTCAATTTATTTCCAAGTACTTTCTAGATTTTACATGCCAGAATAAATTTAGCGTAATAAAAGTCATCTTAAGGGGTTTTAGATGACAAAAAGTTCTGCAATGCATTTGATGTTGTGAGCACGTATAGGAGACATCATTTGCAACGTCGAGTTTTTGCCTAAGGGAGAAGTGCATGCGACGTTAACAATACGTCGGCTCTCTAGACTGTAAAATGGTACATTATGGCGATGTTGATTAGATGTTATCGATAGACATAGACGTACGGATTTTATTTCTACGTTGCCAGGATATCGGTGGTTCACTACGCGCTCTCTTTTGAAGCTTGTTATATGTTGGAACTTCCTGAGAACCGATCGTTCATGCCAAGCTACAACAACCAAACACGTAAAATTGAGAACCTAGCTTCTTTCGCGTTGTAGGCTTACCTGGAGGTTGGGAGGTTGGTAAAATAATCGCCGAAGACTTCTGACTGGTGACGAGTATTCTCTACCTTTGCTCGTTTGGCACTGCTTTTTTATCGGTAATTTCTGCGATATTCCGGCTAGTTCTTGGCTTCATTTGTAGGCATGAGTATGTAAATCCTCCACTGAAAAACTTAAGGCGGTGCTTCAGTGAGTCATAAGATCTTTGGCTTGTTAGAAATGTCTGTAAATTTAAACTTAGCGTAGTGTCGCGCCTGCCAACTGTTTCACTGCGAAAATATTTTTACTAGACGCATGTCGCTCCCCTTACAGTGTCTATATCCTCTTCACATAGATCTCGCCCATTCTTGCTACTGTTCTTGGTCAGAAGGAGCGTTGAAAGGTCAAATTTTTCTTACGCAGAATTCGAGTCACAGTTCTGAACAGTCTCCGCTCTTCTGTTCAAATCAATTGCAGTCTGCTGAAACGTGCTTCATCAATATCTGACTTTCTTTCACGCGCAGTAGTTCTGTATGACACTGTAATATCAAAGAATGTGCAAAATCTATCCTCAAGTTACACAATCAATGATTTGAGGCACTCGCCTAACTAAGATTACATATCGTCTGTTTTTTTTTTTAAATTCAACCACTTCGTTTATTTCGTCGTCCGCAGAGCATCTGATCGAGCATAAATAATAAAAATGCTGGCGCTAAGACATTACGCTTGCTCCATTTTGTTTTGGCAAACCGCGCCGCGAAAAACTTTCATAGCTGCATGCAATAGTGGAGTCAGCGGGAAGCAGATGCAGCAGACGACACTCGTGTGCCGTGGGCGCATGCGCTCTCCTCCCGAGGCGGAAAACTAATAGTTCTAGGCGTCGCCGCAAGGATCGCTGCGCACACGTTCGCCTACCTCTTCTCCCAGGGGAGACATTATCACGGCGCACGTTCGCGCTAGCACCAGCCTGGAGTTTCCCCTCCTGTCTTTCAAGCTCCGTGGCCGCTATATGGGCGAAGGTCCTTAAGACAGGAATTGTGCGTCCCCAATGTATGTAGTAGTTGTAATAGCAGTAGTAGTCGTAGTAGGTAGCCATCTCTCGCTTAGTCCTGGGATTGTTCTCTGGATGGTGGTACTTGCATATGATGAATTTATGATGAAAAGATGCGATGTGGTGGTATTGGAGCGTTCACTAGATGGATGGACGGACGGATGGGCGCACAGACGGACAGACTAGACAGGCAGACGGATGGCTGAACGCACGGACGGGCGGATGGACAGACAGACGCACAGAAGGATGGACGGGCACACGGATGGTTGCGCGGATGGACGGACGCATGGACGGACAGAAGCAAAAACGAACGAACGCAGGGAAGCGCGGACTGACTGATGAATGCTTCTTCGCCACTAATCATCATTCACTCTGTGGATATGCTGTGAATTCTGTTCTTTACAAAGCAGCTTCAATGGTGCCAGTTCCAGCGCCGGATGCGCATGCGTACCGCAGCAGACGTCTCACCGCTAGATAGCGCGTCGTTGCTTTCAGCTACGCGATCCCGTGGTCTGCAGAGTTATGCTCACGCCTGTACATATATAAAATGTTTACTGATGAAGACAAGCGCGCGCTTAGCGCACTGCTTATCATAAATCATAACCGATATCTGCTGTCGCTGTTAAGTGCACTGTTTCTAAAGGTTATCACCTAAAGAAGTGAAAACACTAGAAGCGGTGCTGTGACGCACGAGACGCGTGCTGTGGTGCGCATGCGCATTCTGTCGTATCAGTTGGTGTCTCGGGTCGTTCTTTCCGACGCCCTCGTAGCCGAAACGACGAAGCCGTCGTATCTGTAAACTTTATCATTTAGATGTTAGTTTTTTGCTCTTTTTTGTAGTGTATTTTATGTACCCCACTACTCTCTATAACGCTATGTGCAATGAGGGTGAATTGAATGGAATGAAATTAAATAGTGTCACTTTCTTACTAGCAATCCTTTTCATTAGTGCCACGTGCCGGAACGAAAACGCTTCCCAGCTACCATTTGCGACGTTGATCTATGTGGACCTGCGTGCGGTATTACATTGAGCGAAAGCTATTTGTTATAACTTGATACTGAAGTGACGGACTTGTGCGGTGTTAATAGGAACTACTTCGTGATACTTTTCTCAATAAACAAACGTTGCTGAGACAAACTGCGGTCATTTGCAACGCCCAGATATTGCAACAAAGAGGCAATTTCCCCCTTCCTCAGCCACACCAGCACATGCCAACGTTGCCTGTCTTTCAAGATCTCCCTTACTACAATACAATGAGTTTGCACCCTTAATAGAAAACCCCACCGGACGTGCATGACTGCAATCCGAGCACGAATACCTCAATTTTAGTAATTTGATGCTACTCCGCATTTGTAGGTAGGCGCTATGAACGGTCTACTGACTGCCAAAACAGCAACAATTACAGCAGTTACACAGCAGTAATTCTCTCATGTGTTGTTTGCGAATGCCAGAGTGGCCGCAATCAGTGATTATATCATATTTCCTCATGTTTATTGTCACTAGCAGAAATAATATCCCAAGAGGAAGGGCAGGCAAGTCCTTCTTTAGGATAGTTGCGAAAACTAACATCTTTTCCTCGGTCGTCCGAAGCACTAATCAGGCAGAGAGCAGCACTTCACCATTGCGCAGCACTCGATCACCGCAGAGGATATTCGTTTGTAACACACGGTTTGCAGAGAAGCTGGATGAGGATTATTCGTCCCTAACTTGGTCACGACAGAAACGCCGTGTGGCGGGTTCAAAAGTCCACATGTTTGCAGGACAAGTGCCCCGACGGCGATGCGATCTCCATGGACGGCTTCGACTGCGCATTCAACAACTGGGCCTGCTTCGCACATCGGTGCGCCGGAGACGAGACAACGTGACGTTTCGAAAGCTGCATCTATACACATACTTGTAGATGCTGGAGAAAGGCGCGCTATTTGAAATATTGAATGAAGCACCAAAACCAAGTATCTTACAGCAAAAACTGCAGATTGCGTACGAGAACTCGAACGTAGTTCACACAAATATAGTTTCCACTTCAGATCATGACTTGATTTCATCTACCATACAAAATTATTTACGTAATCACACGTACATTGTTTAATATATATATATATATATATATATATATATATATATATATATATATATATATATATATATATATATATATATATATATATATATGTACTTTGTTTGTCGCATGCTTCTGATCATACCCACACTTGAATTGTAATGCCTCACAGAAAATCTTATTTCTGTAAACTTTATCATTTAGATGTTACTTTCTTCCTATTTTTGTAGTGTATATTATGTACCCCATTACTTTCTATAACGCAATGTGCAATTGAGGGTGAAAAGAATGGAATGAAATGAAATAGTGTCACTTTATTACTAGCAATATAGTCGCTGGCATCGGCGTGTTCGTAGGCCAGTGAGGGATTTATATGCCCTGTCGATTGGGCCGCCACTGAAACAAGTTGTTAATTGCCCTCGCAAACATTTGTTCCACACGTTAGTTGACTGTCCTGGGGCTGTTCGTTTGAGAATGTTCCCGCATGAAGCAGACGATCCCGCACAGGAGCAGAGGTGGCTGCGGCGCGGTTGAAAGTGGAGTCCCCGCTCTGACGTCACAAGTGAGGTATGCCACTTCAAGATCTCGAGGTCAATATTAGCTTGAGAACAGGAATTCTGGTCCACGTTTACTAGCTTCCTGTGGTGGTGTTTCTACATCAGTGTCTCGTATCGTAAGATACAGAATACATTTTTAATGTATGGAAAATACATATACGGATACTCGTTTAGCTAGAAATATTACCATACATATACAAAATAACCAAAAATAATTTAAATAGTATCTTAGATACACGTATCTCCGATGCTGTATAGATAGATTCTCAAGTACTCCGAAAACACGATCATGTGCTGGCCACGTTTTTGTTTTCATTTTTACACCCTGCCTCACCAACCTGTATAGCACTGATGTAAAGGCGAGTGGCTTATACGAGTCAGCATTATCTTTTTCTTTCTTGACTTTATGCATTACGTTTATGATACTTTTTCATGAACAATGCGGTACTTGCCCGGCCCCATAAAACATTTTGTACGGCTTTCAACAGTAGGCTACCTTACTTGTGGTATGTCCTATAGTTCGTCGATAAGTATGACAGGAACCCCACTTTAATCAGAGCAGAGTGCTTGAAAATTTTTTTATCTGTATTTCACCACTTGGCCGACGATGCTCTCTGCGATGCCTGTCATTGCGAAGAGATGCTACACCACATCCTGTGCGACTGTCCATCGTATGACATCCAGAGACAGTCAATGGCGTCCGTTTTTCCGCGCATCGACAACAGCCACTTGTCTGTGGACACTGTTCTGTCAAGTGCCCGAGAGAAGACACTGCAACAGAAAACGATAAAAGCTCTGTTGAAATTCCTACGCGACACGGACTTGAACAAGCGGCTGTAACAGCAAAGCCACACACCGCGAAAGATAAGACTGGACTATGACTGAGTGTGCGCGCGTGTGCTGCCGAATGTGCTGTGTTTATTTCTCTTCTCTCTGCTCTCTGTCATCTCCCCCATCTCCACCCATGCGAAGGGTAGCAAACGGGCTGCCTATAGGCTGGTTAACCTCCCTGCCGTTCTTTTCCTCCTATTTTCCTTCCTTCCTTCAAGTTCTAGCTTTTCCTCGGTTGCACTATCCGTCATATTTTGCTCACTGTGAAAATTCTTTGGAAGGCCTGTTTAAATGAATTGGCTGTTATTTACCAGGTTTATTAGCGCTTCTTACACTTTCAATTGATTTGATTCATCATCAGCAATTTGCTGTCGCATTGTGACAGACTTTGTACGTAGTGCTTCGAGGTGTCTCTAAAATGCTACCTAGACGCCACATTCTTTTTTCTTTTTTCTCTGTCAGCCCCGCGTTCTCTTTGTCTCTAATTTGTTGTAGAACGAATTTTTTCTCTAAATACTTTTCCCGTATGTTGACGACCTCGTCTTGTGGGTGCGGCTGCTTTTCTTTGGCTGTGTATGCGCCCATGATTGTTCACGTCGCCTCTCGATCGCCTCCCAGATTTCCTTGTGCCGGATTTCCTTGTTCCACCATTTTTTTACTTTCCTCTTCACTTTTCTGGATACAACCTAGAGTCTCTTGCGGTGGTGGCACGGAAAACTGACCTCAAGTGGCTGTTCGTTTGAACTTCGAAAGCGCAGTATCATTTCTCTGAAGCAGTTAACCCACCGCAGTGACCATAGCTGAACGTGGCGAGTTGCAAGTACTCTATTTTGTGTAATCAATTACACTCTTTTATCTTTGTAGTATAATTTATTATTTATCCTTTTCAGTCCCTTTGAGCCCGATTGGGTCCACTCGTTTGAGCAAGTGACGTTATTTCTGAATAAATGTTATTTACCTTAAACTGAAATATATCATTTACTAGGCATTACATTACTTAAGCACAACAAGATGGCACTTCATGTCGGTATTTGCGATGTGCAGCGGACTTCAAAAGTGCGTTTTTTAGAAACGTCACCTTTGAAATTCCCTACTTGCGTAAATATAGCTTACGAAGTTTATTTTAGTCCAGTACGTGTGAAAGCAGTGTTGGTAGGTCTCCAAGGAAGTTGTAATAACTTATGCATGATCTCTGTTCTAAATTGCAGTCAAGAGATGTTTTAATTAAGTAGATAAGTATTGAACAGTTACATTTATGAGTAAAAATGAATAAACTTCACGTGTTCTTTTTTATGTTCACATAAAAACAATTCATTTGTTGTATGCCCAAGAGCTAATTAAAGAAGTTCGTTATAGATTGGCCTGGAAGTAAGAAGCTGGCTCCCATTGTCAATGTGTACGGAGTGTCCCACCAATTAAAGAAGGTGGCAGGCAAAGCCCGGGTTCTTTTTTCGGCGTCACGCAATGTTGATGCTGTTGCGACCGGGTTTCCAGGCACCGGAGATCTGCGATGAAGATGTCGAGGCAGGTGGACGGCGAACTTAAAGAGAGGGTTTATTTACACGGGAAGAGCTCTCGGCCCCAAAGCTCTACATCGAAAGCTCTACATCGAAAGCTCTACATTGAAAAGCTCTCCATTGAACAAGCGCTCAGCAGCCCGCGATGGCTGATTTTAAACAGTCTAATTTCCCGAAATTCCAAGATCGGAGAAGAGGTCCATACGGCACTGGTCAAATAAAAGGTCCCACAGAACACGAGGGATCATTATGCTGGCTCCGCCCCCAACATACACATATACGCAAACCAAACACGTGTATGGTCACAGCAATGCTGCCTCCTTCAGCGTATCTTGCTTCCAGCGAGCGAGATGTAATCAGTCTGTCATATCGCCGCTCGGGCTCACCACTCATGATTTGTCGAACAGCGGTCGAGGGCTAGATGCCTCCAAGGAGAAATTCTTAGATAACTGGTGCTGATTGGAGCATCGGCGACCCATCAGACAGAGAGGCGCAGCGTAGTAGTTTGACGTCCATCGTTGAAGGAACCTCGGCATTGTGGCTTCTCCTGGGGCACGAAGACGCCACGTGTCGTATCTCTGCGCCAACACTAAGGAAAGTCCCCGCAAAGGCGGGTGCGCAAGTACGCGTTTGATGCGTAGCGAAACCACGGACCTGAGCTAACGGGGTGCGTTTCGACCTCCTCCCACGCCTAGCCGTGCGTGGCTGAGTCGTGTCCGGGGAAAAGGGGATCCTGGGTGCTGAGCCGACGCCGGGTGATCTCACCGTCAAGGCCTCCCGGCAGAGGCAACACACCCGTTGGGCCCCGACTTATCGTAGACGGCACCCCTGGGCTGACCCACCTAGGTGAAAGCGGCAGTCGTCTTTACCTATATCTCTCTCTCTCTCTCTTTACATCTTTGTCTTTTCTCCTCGTTAAATCTATCCTATCTTCTTCTCTCGTCCATTTTACTTCCATGTTTCCTGGCGGCAGTGGTTAACCTTGTGTATGTGTTCTCTCTTCGGTACAGTTGTCTTCATCATCATCATCATCATCATCATCATCATCATCATCATCATCATGAGCCTGACTACGCGCAATTCAGGACAAAGGCCCCTTCCATATTCCGCCACTCAACTGGGTCCTGTGCTTGCTGCTGTAGCCGCAAACTTCTTAATCTCATCTGCCCACCTAACCTTCTGTCCCCCCTAACCCACTTGCTTTTCCTAAGAATCCAGTTAGTTACCCTTAATAACTAGCGGTTGTCCTGTCTATGTGCTACGTGCACGGCCCATGTCCGTTTCCTCTTATATTGTATATGGTTACAGTAGCTGTGTACAGCTGGCGTTGGCATGCCTTACTATAAACGCAAGAGCTGTCACGTCCCCATGCTGGGCTCCTTGGTGGGTGGCTGGCATGGCTGCGGAAAGAACTCCTATCGTATGGCTGCTACCTCCTGTCGCCAACTTAACGATTGTCCCCACTCAAAAAGGGGGCGTACTGAACTGACTGAAGGTATTTTTTGCATGAAGAGGGAGAAAGAAGAAGCCGAAGTGAGCGAACGCTTCCACTACAGCTCCTGCTTTATTCAACGTTTTTGCGACGCCACTTTGTGATTTCAACGATATATCAGTGCAACGACTTCCAGAAGGCACAAGGACTCTGCCTACACAATTTGGGCGCAGTGAGTGCTTGCTTCTTGCAATTTATTTTGGCTCCGCCATCGTCGCTCGCCCCCCGACAGCTAGACCTGACGAGTGTCTTTTTTGCTCTAACGTGGCGCGTGCTTGTTCGTGCACCCCGCAGCCACACTGTCTCACGGAGCGATGGAGTACCAAGTGACATGGGAACCAAGGCGTTACGTATCCTGTGCAAAGTAGACCCGAGTGCCATGAAGCACCACACTGTCATATGGTTCCCC